AATAAATACGATACCTTGGAATACTTTCGAGTGAAAGCTACAACGGTATCCGTGTGCTTGCGGATTTATCTATGTGTGTTTAAAAATACCAACAATGTCCAACTTGTTTTAAGAACTTGTGCATATTTTTATCATTAGAGTTTCATTGTGATGTGTCAGATTGATCACTCCAAAACCCCTGTTGGCATACCATTTGCCAGCCTACTTTTGGAGGCTTTCTATTAAAGGCAATGGTTTCTGTACTTATGAATATGCTTTGTTATAGAATTTGAGAGGGCCATGGTGCACATATAGATGGTGAGCAAGGAAGAAAGCACAACATTTGTTAATTCAAGTCTTCCAGCTTGAGAGAGAAAGCTTGGTGTGTAGGCTAATCTTCTCTCACATTTGCTTACCAAAGGGAGGAAATCTTCAACCTTTGGACGGATGATTCATAAAGGTAGGTCCAGGTACGTGAAGGCTAGTCCTTCTTTCTTGCAACCAAAAGTATTTGCCAGTATGTCAGGTTTACCTTCAAAGTTATTTATGGGTACCATCATTGATTTGCTAAATTTAACTCTAAGACCAGTAGAATTCGAGAAAGAGTTCATGATTGACTTAAGGAAAAATAGTTGCCTGGCATCTCCTTCTAGGATGATCAATGTATCATCATACTAGACTATAGGTAAGTCTCTTGAGGAGGTTAGAGGGATAGGCAGGTTCAGGTTTCCATTATCTTTGGCTTTATTCAAAAGGGATAGGAGAAAGTATGGACAAAGAGAAGGGGTGATAGGGGATCTCCTTGTCTAACTCCTCTTTTGCAATGAAAAAATTTGCTAGGAACCCCATTAAACAACACTGCTAAAGTACCAGAAGAGATTATCATTTTCAGTCTTTAGCTCCTGGTCATCAGCTATCAATCTTCATCGCTTACGGATAGTTCTCTTCCTACTCGTAGGTGATGATGGGAAATGAGCGGCCATGACCCGCCTCCACGTCAGCAAAGATAAATTTTGTTTTGGTTTAATTTAATTAGGACAAAAGTAAAAGAACATATTTTGCAAGTTCATACTTCCATAATTCTTATATGTATATACAAATTATGTTAATTACATCTTGAGAAAAATACCTCTAATTAAAAGTCCCAACATAAAAACATAAAAAAGAAGTATGACTGGCTATTATTATAAACTACAAAAGAAAACAAAAGTCTTCAATCTTATAGTCGTGGATGCATGTCTTAAGTTTACTGAACATGACTTTACATTTTTATGCACAGCATGAGTTCCTTTTCTTAGAGGCTCATACACGTCTCATAACACTTAAGTTTTAGTAACACTAAGTATTTATTTGGACCATCACATAACAATAAGTTTTAGTAACTCAGACCTCTATTGAATTATTTGGGCATATTCTCATTTTGAGCCACTACGTGCATTCTGATAACGCCATTTTATTCAGAATGTGTCAGAGCGAATTAGCTCTTGAAACGAGATACACTACGGTGCATGCAATTTAGGCGGTGTTGCACATCCATGTGGCACTATCAATAGAATTTTTTTCGACAGCTAAGTGTGCCGCGTGCCGGAGGGAAGCTTACAAAGATTAGAAAAAGAGGAGTGGCCGTCGTTTGACGCGTGGGCTTTAAACTTAGAAAGTTTAGAATGGGCTTGGCCCATTTTTGTGTGCAGTTCTGGCACATAAAAAGCTTTTTCTCTGTCCGCGAACCGTGGCTCTTCCACCTCTCGTCCTCAGACCATCTCCACCTGCAGTGCATCTCCAAGGGCCGCAGCGAAGGACGAAAGGAGGAGGAATAGAGACGACGACAGGTGGGTAAGCTACAAGCAGGAGAAGATCAGCGACAGGTGTGGAAAAAAGGTCGGGGAATGTGGTGTGGAAAAGCTGCAAGCAGGAGAAGATCAGTGACTGGTTAAACAAGTACCTTTTATCTTTATCTCTCTTGAAACAACTATGAAAGAGCTTTTTATCACCAATTCTGGTTTCGTTAAAAGTCATGGTCAAATTTTTGGTTCTGCCAAATTCCGGGCTTTTGGGGCCAAAAGTGGTATGATAGCGCGATTCATCCCTGTCCGATTTTGTTCGTGGTATGATAGCGCGATTCATCCCTGTCCGATTTTGTTCGTTAAGGGCCCGTTCGTTTCAAGGGGAACTGTGGCCTGGAATCATTCCTACCCGGTTTGCTTGCATAATTTGTATAAGTTTTGGATTGATTCCAGGAGGAATACTGAGTAACCGAACAAGGCCTAGGTTGGGAGTGGATCTCTGCTAGCCTAGGTTTATTGATGACAAGGGATGCGTGTGGCGGCTAGCACCGATGAATGCTGTGTTAGTGTCTTGCGACTTGCTAGAGTTGTGATGAATATTGAGGAAAAAAAAATTTACCGGCGCTAAGCTGCCACTTCGTGCCTCCTGGGTCTCTAATCACACCTTAGGGCCTAACTCATTGGGAAATTCCTCAGCCTGTTCGTTTGATCCCAAAATCAAAGGGATTGGAGGGGGTTGAGGGGATTTTGACTGTAGGGGATTTAATCCCCCTCAATCCCTTCCAATTTCCTTTGTTTTGGGATCAAACGAACAATGCCTTAATGTGTTTTTTTATTGCAAAGTTATGACCCTCTCAGGAAAGTTTGAAATGGGTGTGTCCCTTCTCGATGTTGCTAGACCCATGAACAGCAACAGCCAAGAATTTGTAAAGTGCTCTCCTATAATATTTTAAATAGTTGTGGACATCTCAGGAAAGTTTGATTTCATATCCACAGTGTTTGGCTATGCATCTTACAGAAATATGACATATGACTCCCGATGTCATATGTGCAAAGAGGAGTTTGAATGGCCACGTATGCCTGAAGTGCTGCACAAGATTAAAATCATGATGCGAACTCCGTTTGTGGATGATCCTCAAGGCCTCAAAGGATGGGAAGAATATGAGAAAAATGTCCTCTATGCATTTGGACGCAACCTCCATTCTCTCTTGGAACACCTCTGATGACTCCGGTTAGTCTCCCACACACCTACATTTGCCCTAGGAATTCTGTAAAACAGCACAGAACGTGCACCAATGGCATGGAGAATCATACACCTTTGTGATATTACAACTCTCCCTTTCATAGCATTAAATATTTACAAGGCGTGCTGTAGTCCAATTGGATTTATTTACAGTTAAGCCTCAAACCTGCATATAGTTTTGACAAGAGCTACTTCTACATTTCAGTATGTTGTGAATATGTGCCTTTTTATACAGTATTTCCTAGTGATGCAGAGCTCACCAACAGAGCTCTTTTTAGATTACATTTTTGTGGTACAAGTTTTTGATATGGCCTTGTCTCGTCCCTTCCTATTTCATGATTTTTTTCTTACTCATTGTCAAGGGCATACACTGTTCCGAATTCCACTTATGAATTTCATCAGATTATAAGTCGCCATGTAGGTACACTGGTTTACCAGTTGGTACCATTCTTATAATAAATTACTTGAATAAATTTTGCAATTAATAATCAAAAGGGTTCCTGCAAGTTGCTCTCCATGAGCCATTTGAATAATGTCTGAGGTTTGTAACCTCGAAATAAATGAAAACTGATAGGACAGCGATTGGTTTCCTTTGAGTTAATCGAGTTAAATTTATCAGAAAGCGGTGCATCGTTGTTCCTGCTTGTATTGGCTCAACTAAAGGTATATGTCGTTGGTTGTTATTTTCATCTTGAGTTTACCACGATAACTGGAATTGTGTGCCCCACTCATTTGTTTCTCCCATTTACCACCTCAAAACTTGGTGCAGTGATCTAGGAAAGACAAACTTTAGCACTAAATAATCCACGGTTTGCCACAAATAAATTGTTGCTTTCTTAGGTCGCAAACTAATGATTTAGGGATGGAGGGAGTATCTGTTTTCATTGGTAACCTAAAACACTCAAATTGTACTGCTTATCTCAGGCTATAAAGTCATGCAGTTAATACCATAAATCTATTGCCGGTAAACATGACATCTTCTTGAGTCGGCTCTTCATGTTTGTTGCTTAATTTTTAGGCGATTTTAACTGACTGATAATGATTTTATTTGCATTAGATGGCTGGCTTTTCTTCATTAAAAATAGTTTCCTGCCTTTTCTGTCACACGTCGTCAGTCTGTGGTCTCAAAATAATGCCCTGTCTGTTTTCGGCAGTTCTTCACCCATTATATTGTGCCAGAAATATTCAAATGGCTCATGCTGTTGTGCTACTCGGAATCTTTCCTCCATTATCTGATATTTAATAATCTTAAAGGTAACCATGTTTGAGTGCATTGCATTTTGCTGTATGTTGCGACTATGTGGTTCTGTTGTATACTGTTACTATAAACATTTCTTTTATTAAAATCTGTGTTATCACTGGTCACTGGGAGTCTTGTTTCATAACCAGGGATTATTTTTTCATTTGCTTCGTAGCATCGGCTGTAGAATCAACACGACTACATTTGGCCTTTTGGCCGTCTTGTCCTCTTCATGAACTGAAACAATTTAAATTCTTTCTGTCCCGTTTTAGAACTCTGTTTTATATGAGCAGCTAATGAAGAGGCATGCCCGCTCTGAGACCTTGGCTGGCATGGTGTCCGTGGGATTGGAGTCTTCAAACGTGCTACGAAGAACAAGAGGACCATGATAGCCGGAAGTGCTGCTGCAGGATTTGCCGTTGGACTTTCCTCTGGGGTCCAAGTTAGCCTTTGGCATATGTAGCTACTGCTAAACCGATGACAGGTCTGCTGCATCACCGTATATTAAATTTAATAATTATTACTGCATACAAACTATAAAAAACATTCATATAATTTATGAAAAGAACGAAATGTCTTGTTAAAAAAAACTACAAATCATAAGCAACTTTTAAGTATATTCCATTCTATATATTTTTTCTATATAAATAAATATGATATCGTCTATTACAACCACAAACACGTGCTATACCGCTTGTTCACCAGTACAAACAAAAAGAAGCTGAAAACTCCATTACTTAAACTTGTGTACAGCTCACGAGGCGGAGTTTCTCCTCCGCCGAGGTTCCCTGCTCCGTGTCTCGCCGGGTGCCGCCGTCACTACCGGCTGCTCCACCTGAATCCTGCCGAGTCTCCCGAGCTTCTTCCACCCGCTGGTCCACCCCGCCGACACGTTCTGTTGCTTGGCCTCCTCGGACGGTGGCAGCATGCGCTCCAGCTGCCCTTGCAGAAGCTCCACCTCGCGCTGCAGCTCCATGTACTTCGCGTTCACGCTCTCCACCTCCAGCCTCAGCGCGTTGACGTCGTCCTCCTTCTTGCCCACCCTGCCGAGCGCGCCGGCCATCTTTGCCTGCTCCGACAGCAGCACCTGCACCACGACGCGGAGCGGCAGCCGCTCGTTCTGCGCCGCGTGAGTGCGCACCTCCCGCGACAGCTTCCCGCAGTCCACCGCGCGGCACAGCCGCTTCCGCTCGTGGTCGGTCAATGCTGGATGCGCCTTCAGGTACGAGTCGACGGCGCGGTACAGCCCGTCATGGCACACGCGTGCCGACTCCGGCAGCGACTCGGCCAGGGCCTGGAACTTGCCCAGGGCGAGGTTCCGGTCCCGGGACACCTCGGAGAGGTAGCTGTCGATGAGGCTCGCCACCTGCAGCGCTTTGCAGCTGTGCTGCTGCTGTTCCTGCTTCTCCTTTCCACGGCCGGACTGCTCCTGCACCACGAACTGCTCCACCAGCCGCTGCACGAGGTCGACGTCGTACGCGGCTTCGGAGCGGGCGTAGGGGTACGAAGGGACCAGGATGTCGGGCAGCGCCGCCTGGTCGAGCTGCACGCCCACGTGCTTCTCCACCTCCGTGACCAACGCCGGCGCCGCCTTGAGGACGACGGCCAGGCGGAGAAGCCGGAGGAGGAAGCTGCAGGAGACGCAGTCCTTTTTCGGGGGGATAATGCTGATCAGGCTCTCGATGATCCTCCGCTGCTCACTGGCCGTCATCTCCGCCTGCGTGTCATCCTCATCCCCCTCGCCGGCAACGACCATTTGGAGCACGCCGAATCCGCCATGCGACGCGGGGCTCTCTTTGTTGAGGAGGCCAGCGGAGGAGAGCCATTTGGAGGCATAGCGCGTGACGGCGGCACCGATGAGGTCGGGCCGCATGCCTCTGGCCTGGACGGCGGTGACGACGCGCACGAAGTGATCGATCCTCAGCACGCAGACGTCGTCCACCCACCAGTCGGCCGGCGGGCTGCCGCTGTTGCCCGTCGACGTGCCGGCGGCCCTGGGCGTCTTGGGCGACGTCCTGCTGCCGGCGTAGGCCCAGCGCACGGCCCTCGGGCTGGTGCACGCCTTCGCCGCGACGGACTCGCTGCAGCGGCGCACGAGCTGGAGGTCGTCGGCCCACGGGGAGAGGCCCTCGCAGGCGCGGAGGACGACGACGGAGTCCCGCCACGAGGACGCCACCACGTAGCTGAGGAACGCCTCCGCGCGGAAGGCGAGGTTGCCCTCCTCCATCTCCTCCGTCATCTCCAGGTACTCGGCGGCGCAGCGTAGGACGGCGACGTTGGCGGCCGTGATGTCCACCACCACACCGTAGCAGAACTTGGCGGCCAGCTCGAACGCGCCGTGGCCGCCCGGCAGGTCCGGCAGCTCGAGCACGGTGACGGCGTCGGGGCCGTGCAGAGCCGACGCCTCGTCGACGAGTCGGGCCAGCCGGGCGCTCCGGGTGACCATCGGGTGCTTGTGGACGTGGAAGTTGACGCCGCCCACCTTGACCAGCAGATCGCTTGGGATGTCGCTGCTAGCGTACCGGCTGAAACAAGAACAGAGCTCGCGTCAAAGTACAATTCCATCACTTGGTTGGCATGCACTTGTTCGTTCAGGATATGTGTAGGAGTATACCATGACTGGTCCCTGCGCACGAAGCCGTCCGTCTTGGCCGCCCCGCCATGGTCGTGCTGCACCTGCACGTCGCCGGCGCTGACAGGGACGAGCCCGCGCTCGGCTACATGGTTCTCCCTCTCCATAGCTTCCCACCGATTCATGTTTAGTCTGCTCTGTGCGATTCTTTTTTTTTTGAATAAATTATATCTGCTCAACGGATTTTATAAGCTTCCATGCACAAGGCTGCAGATGTATCTCGCTCTGAGTCTGAGATGGACTTGCTATAATCACACTTCCTTGCATCTTAAGATCCAGGAAATTGCTACGAATGAGTCGTAGGACTTCATTATGATGGATTGAGTACGCAGTATGCTTCTGACTTGTTCTGACTCTTGATGACCCACCTGATGTTTCTGGTGGTACCTCAGCCGTTACAACTAGTCGTGTTTGTTGCACGGTTAGGCCAAAACGTCTACATAAACTCATTATTGGACTTAAAACCATGGTAGGAACGACAAGGTTTCCAGGAGACTCATTGGAAGCGATCCATGAGTGTGCTTCATCTTAGTCTTTGCCTCTTTAATTGAGCGAGATGGCTATCGTTGTCAACTAAAGCGACAACAATTAACTCAATGAAAGAGAACATGTTTGAATGGGCAACTAGTGATGTTTGTGTCATGGAGACTGGATCAACCGGTTATATTCATTAACTTTTTCAGTCATGCCCATTAACACTGTGAAAGATAAATTCTTCAGAAGGGTGCATTGTAAGCGGTTTTCTTTTCTTAATTCCAAAGAAAAAATTCTATATATCCTTCCAAATCTATCTATTATATATCTTTTATAAAGAAGGAAACCCTTGTTCGATGAGAGGGTCTAGAAATTACGAGATTAAGAAAAAAACTATTAAATTTATGATGATCTAAATGGTCTGAATTTAACAAGAGTCCATACCTAATATGATTAATATGTAGCTAGATTTTGAATAAAATTATACAAATTAATGTTTGATAACCTATATCAGATAACATATATCATGTACAGACGGCAATATGTCATGGTCTGGTCGTGCCAACTCGTTTATCTTAAGCATTTGAGCATAATATGTACTTAAAATTTTCATTTCAATTTTCAAAAAACTTTGCATACAAGTTCTGTACGCTTTGGGCTCCGTAGTGCTTGCTCGGACGGTTCGAGGGTTGCTGCCAGACGGTCCGGCGATGCAAGGCTTTAGACTTGTACAATCTGCACCTGCATGATACTGTCAGATGGTCCGACATGGACCATCGAACAATCCAACCGAGCGAGTTGACACCAGTAACATGCAAAACCGTGATCTGTCCACTACTCAACCCACTCGGACCCACCTGTCAGCCCTTCCCTCTTACAAACAGCCCACAAGCCCCCTCCATCTCCCATTAGCGTTCTTTCCTCCACCAACATCAAAACTACAGAAAAAGAGATAAGAGCAAGAAAAGGAGAGGAGAAGGAGAAGAGAGGAGGAAGCTGCCCCCATGGCCAGAGGATGTCATCGGCAACGTGTTGCACCCCATTCATGCCCTCAACCTCACCAGAAGTTGGGGAAGAAGTGCTCCAAGTCATGTTCTTCCTCACGTTCATGGAGAAGCCCCCAAGCCGATCTCCTGCCTCAAGCCTCCCCAAGCCAAGCTGCTGCAGTTGGAGACTCTCCTCGACGTGGTAAGCAAGTCCCAAGCCATCTCCCCTGCCACCCCCTCTCAATCACCCACCACATGAGCTCCACCCCTCATCCATGCCCACCACCACCATATGTGAGATCGAGCTCCACACACACCATGCATGACACAACCAACATCAACATCAAGTTGCGCACATCACTAGGAGACCGTAGCAATAAACCACACTCAAATCAGTATCCAGATGCACCCGGAATCATATCCGGCACGAATTTTGCATGTTGGACATTCCCATCGGATAGTCCTGGATAGATGGCAGACGGTCCACCCCTCCCCACCGGACTGTCCACTGGTACACAACAGAGACTTCATAGGCATGCATGATCTTGTAAAATTCATAGAAAATTCATTTTAACTCTAAAAATTTTGAAACAAATTTTGTTGGTTTTCTTATAAAATTATATATCATCTAAACATGAGTTAAAAGAGTCCAAAACTAAATTTGTAATTTCAGCCACATTTTTAATGCATTTTCTGCTCATTAAATGAATATCTACTTGTCTAGAACTTCAAAAATCATGAAACTGTTAACCTCCTTTGGGCCTGTGCTATCTAGAAAATATGTTTTGTGCATCATCTTCTTGCATATGTGCACATGGCATATCATTTAAACCTAACAAGTTAAACCTAACACTAGAAACCTTTCGCTTTTGCGCTTTGTTAGATGGACTCCCAATCACCTTAGGAACTCCCTAGGAGAGCCTCATGCACATGAAGAAGCCCCAACACACTTTACAATACGAAGAAAATACGTTTAGAACACTTATTCTCATTGCTGTGTTGCAACCACCAGCATTGTACCCATCTGACCAGATCAATAGAGTCATCCAGACTAAATCCTACACTTAGTTTAAGTATAAAAAGCCCCACCACAGTGTTTTTTCCATTCGACATCTGGCACAATATGCTAAAGTTTATAAATTGACATCCTGCCAACCTAGGCTAGGAGTACAAGAGCGCGTGCATAACCAAACTCGTGAATGACTACACTATGAACACCTTTCTTCATCAACTGTGGTTCACGACTTCAAGCAGCTCACTATATGGACTAGTGAGAACGACATTACCAGTGCCCTCAACCTTTGTCTCGGCCCTAGTTATACCTTTTGTTTTGCTGCATTTGTTATATTCAGTATGGTTGCTATGTTTAGTTTGATAGTCATCATCATGCTTACTAGTGCGAGTAGATCACACAAGCACATATATGGTGTCACAGACTTCTTGCTATTTTTTTGGATTAAATTGTGCCTACATGTGCCTAATATCTAACAAACAACACTTATAGAGAGGATAGTAAAGCTATTGGAGAGGCATCAACTAAAGAAGTGAGAATTGACAGTTAGCCTTGAGTGCTACTAGTGTTCTTTGTTGAATTTGTTTGAGTAAGAGCCGAAGACTTGTTACTCTTGGTGATTGCCATCACCTAGGTGGCATGGTGGAGGATTTTGATGACCTCTCTCAGTGGAGTTCTTGTTGAGGAGGCTCCAATTGGTGTACCTGGTTTGAAAGACAATTTCTTGAGCGGAGAATTAGTATTCACTAGTGAAGCAGAGCTTAATTGAGGCTTGGTGACTCTTTGTTGCTCCAACATGGACTAAGGTTTTTTGGCAACAACCCAATACCACGGGAAAAATATAGTTGTCTCTTTGCCTCTCTTTTGTTCTTACATTACTTCTTACTTTGCTTGCTTATGTGCAAGTTCCATTTGGTGACAACTAGGATTACTTTCTTCCATGCTTAGCATAAGTTGTATTTTTACTCTTAAGGACCTATATCTTAGTCTGAACTTTGCTGAGGACTTGAGAACTTGTGATGGCCCTAAGGAATTTTTAGTTTGCTTTTATAGAAAAACTTAGGTGTCAAAGTGCCTAGGGATTTAGAATTTGCATGGGCTAAGGTTATTACTTTAAATTTGGTTCGTATACTTCATTCCCATATTTCTTTCATTTTGCATTTGGTGACAACTAGATTATTACTTTCTTCCGAGCTAAGGGTTTTTTTGGCAACAACCCAATACCACGGAAAAAATCTAGTTGTCTCTTTGCCTCTCTGTTGTTCTTACATTACTTCTTACCTTGCATCATAATTTTTAGTTTGCTTTTATAGAAAAACTTAGGTGTCAAATGTAGTATATGGTCTTCTCAATTGTCTAGTGCTTGTGGTCGGCACTTAGTGACCAATGATTTTATAAGATTCATTGGTATGTTGCAAGAGTTCTTCATGAGCCTTATGCCATTGATAAATCCTACAACTTGGCAATGAAGATGACACTCCTTCCCTTTCTAATCATGTGCATTTAGGTCTGAACCATCTCCCTTCGACAAATTCAGGACCTGCTTCTTTGTTGGAACAGGTGGTTGATGGCCCAAAAAGTTTCTATGACACTTTTGTTTGCTTGTAAGGTTCTCAATCTCAAAACCAAATTGGCATTGGCACGCTAATCCTAACAACTAGAAGATACCCTGTGTGTTATTGCGGGGATTGCGAAGAATTTGGAATGAAATTAAGTGGAGATAGAGTGGATAACTTGTAATTAAGAGGTTAGAGTTAGATGTGGGGTCATTCCTAGCCTCCCACCCTCGCTAGAGACTAGGTGGGGGGGGAGGAGGAGGGTTTCCCACAGGGAAAGAGAGTGACAAAGGTGGAAGTTAGAAGTGGAACGATGGATGAAATTTTGGAGTAAATGCTCATTAATTCATCAAAAAACTATGTCTGAAATAGTGTTGCCTCTAGGTATTTATAGGTCATACCCGAGGGCATTGAGAAATTACATGGGTAGCTTGCATAGCCGTCCCTAGGGGCACAACCATAACTTTCTACACCTTGGCCAACTACCCCCTCTTAACAGCAGCTAACGTCCTGCAGGCTCCGTGCTTCCCATTACCTGCGTGTTGATGCGCCTGGATCAAAGCAAAGGCTCCATGGACCTGTAGCCACACAGAAAAAGGTTGGCTCACCCCAGGACCTTCGCCCGGACGCGTTTCAAAGGGGTCACCGAGACCAAAGGCCCCGTCGTAATGGGCAGTGGTCTGTTGGGGTGGCTAGTCGTAGGCACTCCCCCAACAATAGTAGGATGATATGGCTATTAGTGAGAGATGATGTGGATGGCTTGCATGTTGAGATACACTTATAGTGGGTTATATGAGATATAGATAGATTCCAATATATAGTGTGTGCTCTATTTCTTTGTTGTAAGTTGCTTCACATGCGCTCTTGCTTGGTGTCAAAATTGCCAATGTACTAAACTTGCAAGTTTGGCATACTTTCTAATGGAACAATCAGATTCTTACCATGGTTGTTCAAGCTGGTTCTTGCTGTTAGGCTCTAGGCCATTGGTCTCTAAGGCACTGGCGGAGGGTCGATGAGAACTAAGGGGGGCTATTTAAAAATATGGTACTGTTGTAATTGGCAGGGTGGGCTTAATTTGCACGGTTTCGCCAGCCTTTTCTCCTTCAGTCATAGCTACAGCTATGTCCTTCACATGTCCTATTTTTTCTCCTTTCACTGCACCTGTCTTTTCTTCTTGAGGGATTCATATGCTTGTTCACTGTCTTTTGTCAGAAGAAGGGGAGCCAATTCCCAGTTTCACCTCAATGAGGCTCTGCCACTGCTCTAAGGCTAGCTTTTGCTGAAATGGAGCAAATCATAGACATAGGGTGGCCATCCTTGCCACACACCTGGCAAACAATGCTAGATGGTGCACTTACATGACCACAACCACCCCCTCGGCCACCCTTCTGTCCACTCCCAAAGCCACTGCGTCCACCGCCATGACCTTCGGTGTTGTTGCCTCCTCCTCCATGGCAACCCTTGGAAGCCATATTTGCAAAGGAATGAGGATCTCCACCATGCAGTTCCATCCTTTGCTTGAAGCTGACCAGCTATGTGTACAACTCTCCAACAAGGATAGGTTCAATCCAAGCGGCCACAACGGAGACCGCTAGATTGAAGTCCAGATCTAGTCCAGTCAAGAAGTAGGAGACAAGTTCTTCATCTTCAAGCTTTGTCCCTATAGATGGCATCTCATCTGCAAGGGCCATCATCTTCGTGAAGTACTCAGTGATGGTCTATGCCCCTTGGATGCCATGGCGAGTACCATGCGAGTGTTGATGACACGTGCCTTGGATTAGGACTTGAACATTCCTTAATGGTGGCCCATGCTGTCGTTGCGGTCTCCGCAGATGAAACCTGGGAGAGGATGACACGGAGAGAGAGAGGACAACAGGTAGTTGATGACCTGCTGATCTTTGGCTATCCACACCTCAAACTCAGTGTAGGGCATGGGTGGTGTATCCTTCTTATCATCGCCCTTCGGTGGAGGAAGGAACAACACAGGGGGTTGTGTCGTCGGACTGATGTAGCTGGCGAGTTGAGCACCCCATAGCACCGAGAGCACTTGGGCACACCACATCTGGTGGTTGTTCTTGTTGCGTTTCTCGCTCATGAGAATGAAGTTTAGCGAGGGACTAGCAGATGCCGCAGAAGACAATGGGAGATCCATGGATCAGTCATGTTAGGAATTTAGCTTTGATACCATGTGAAATGGGTTGAACGAGTTGCCCCTTAGGGTCTTGGTTTCATGTTAAATAGGCACAGGAAGAGCCCCTGGCGTGGCGTGTTCACCAACAAGAAGTTACAAAAAAATATCAACAAGATATTATCTAAATAACCTTGGACTACAAGCTAGGAACTACCTAGCCAAACCATACACAAGGAATATCTTAATAGATCCAACTCCACATCGTGTTGCACAGGAAGGCATAGGTTCCATGTTGAACCTAGCGCTCTCAACAACGATGCCGTCTCTAGCAGGAAGGCCCTAGACAACAAGGTGTATGAAACCGCAACATTAACTCTGCCATGCCCATGATCGTCTTTGCTACTACTTAATTGGAAGAGCAAGAACAAGGCTACGATGGTGAGGGAGGAGGGGACACGGATGCCATAGCTAGGCCAAGTGTGGATCATACCGTCCTTAGTGTACATGAGGTCAGCAATAGCTCCATCTCCATCAATGTCCACATGCCCATGCCCTTGTAGCTGTTCAATTATGTCTTGTTATCCAACTAGATCTCCAAGCTCTATTGGTCGTCAATTGGACGCGGCTTCTCCTCCCGGTCCCAATAAGAGCTCTGGTGATCATCCTCTTTCTTCTCGTCCATGCTAGCCATCCAAGAGTCCACTATGGCACGCTTGCATACTTGGAACATAGAGTGTGCATGGTGCAAATAGAATTCATCATCTTCTATGGCTGCCACCATGGACTCATAGTATGGAGGGTGGAAATGGTGCTGCTCTCCAACGTGTTCCTCAAGAGAGCCACGAATGCTGTCCAAATTGTTACGCATGAGCGCCCAGGTCCTCTCCACATACTTGACAACGCTGACACCGAACATCAATATGGCAGCCAGCAAGATGAAAAATTCATCTCCGGAGACATATTTGTAGAGGACATGCAATTGAATCATTATACCCGTCAAATTTAACTTCATTTTTCTGTAGGATGGAGGCAAAGACATGCAAGGATGAAAATATTGCAATTGGCTTCTTCAACCTGGTCACCTTTAACTCCACCACAGTGGCATTCAAATCGAAGACCGATGCAATGTATAAGGTCATGCTGGCCCAATCGAATAAATCACCAATTCTCCTGCCATACAACGACAAGTAAGCGCGTAATTCATTTACATGTACCAAGTTGGAGTCTAATCTGCATCGAATCTTCTTTATTGAAGCGAACATACTGTCTATGTTGCTATAGACCTAAGCGAATGTCATCTCACCATGTATGAAACAGGCATGAGGGGAAGTGAGCATATCAAACCATTGAAATGCTGACTAACATAGCTATCATTCCAGTGGATTCGTATATCCCATATTTTATATTAGTAACAAATTTTGTTCATCACAATGATCTTTCTGGTGGATCACAATGCTTACGAAGGTACCGTAAGAAGTGCTGCATACATAGACCTTGTGGGAGTCTAGGGTTCCAGGAAGCCGAGGTATATATGATTGCAGTGCAACCTCCTAGTGCCATTGATGTTAGTGCGTTCTATGTCATGCATGGCATCATAGAAACCAAGAAACACAAACAGGTTCTTATTATACCAACACACAAAACTATACTGGGTACATTGAATAATGCACTCCATGTTATATTAATGCAACACTGTCTTCTTCCGGTCTATGTTGATGTCGATACAAGGAAGCTGATCCACGACAACATAACGACTCTTCAAGAATGTCTGGCTAGTTTTATTATGGACAAAGTCCTACATGGACATCACTCGGTCCTCTAATCAAAACAGGGAATTATGTCTTCACAGCCTGGTACCGAATGAAGTTAACATGTCTCTGTTCATCGCAAACTAGACACATCTTTATCTATATGTAATTGTGCCCGGGAAGATAGTGTGTGATATGTATGGATGTGAATTAGTGAGATCAGTTAATATCCTGCATCTGTGTGATACCTACTACTGTTAGAAATATGACCATAATGCTATCCGTTGCTAATCGATGTATGAAATAGACAACCAACGGTGACCCACCAGATTATAGACCGGCGTTAATACCAAAACTGACCACTGCCACTTTAACCCAAGAAACGCCCCTGATCAAATTGTTTTCACTGTCTGTTACTGCAAATAGTTGTCGGTCATATGGACCATGTCATCGCTAGTTTTTGAATCACATCCACCGGTGATATATTAGTCATCAAAGCTGGATGCAAACATGGGCTGCCTTTCATAACAATCTGAACACCAACGGATTGTACACAAAACCGATGTTGATCAAATTGCTAACACAACCATATCAAAGGATGAATTATTGGTGATGATTACCTTGGCACCATTGAGTCAACCATTCAACCGTCGTTCGTATTAGAGGATAAAAAACGGTTGCATCCACAAAACGGCGGTGCTTAGTAAATATTCAACGCCGAATTTAGACTGCAACCGCTTGCTAAATTAACCCTAACAACATCGAATCAAATGCCAAAATGACAATGTCTCACATTACCACCACCGGATTCGAACCATCGGCGTTTAACCATGTCATAACCGTAGACAATTTACTCTCGAGTGACATAATCGTCATAGATGGGGGGTTGCAAACCGGCTATGACGGACATGTTGTAGTAGTGAAACACCCCCCCTATAGATAATGGCCACAAATTGGTCGTCTGCCGATAAAATCGACACCTGCAATGGTGACCTCGTTATTGCAATCAGCAAAGTCATCGCAGATAACAAGATCCCGACCGAAAATCATCTAATTTCATTGATAGATTTATTTAGGCTAAACCCTTGGCAAACTAAATCTAAAAACTTCAGAGAGAGAGAGAGAGATGTGACCCCCTCTCCTTCTTACCCCGGTAAACACACTGGAGAGGAAGGAGAGGAGCCCTAGGCGACAGGGACGGCGATGGCGAGGATCAAGGGCTGGCGGTGGTGGCAGAAACGTGCGGCTTCTACCAAATAGAGATATCTACTATAATAAAAATATTCTGTTATGGATTTAATAAATCAGATTTGGTGCGTTGTAAATATTACTACACTTTTCTATAAATAAACTTAGTAAAATCGTACAAAGATGTCTTAAAGACAAAAAAGGCACCTTATACTTCCAAATGGAGGGACAACCTGTTTTAGATACAGAACCAGATTGTGTACAATAATTAGGACACATACATAACAATATAAATATAATTAAACCCCACCCCGGCGCCTCTTCTCTTGTGCAGCAGTATATTATTAGCTTCGTGGTGAAGGGAATCTGTCATAAGCCACAAGATAGTAGTCAACTCCCCACCATTGCTGAGCTTCTTGGCATGGGACTCCCTGCTGCATCTATTGGCAGCATACACAAGAAAATCCGTCCACACATCGAGGAGTAGTTGCAACATGGGCGCCCTTCCTGGCCCTGTTCGCTTCTCTTAAAATATGGCTTCTTTGGCTTCTTTTTCCAGCCGGAACAGTGTTTTGGCTTCTTTTTTCAGTGAAGCGAATGGGGCCCCTGTGTCCTCCATCCTGACGTGTAGATTTTCAGCAACTTTATAGGAAAAGTAGAGGCGAGGCACAAAAAGGCTGAGTGGTGGTGGCTCCTTGGACAGGATGCCGGCAAGGCCGTCGAAATTGGGGTCGTCACGCAATCTGAAGAATTCCTTAATCTTGGCGCACACATCTGTTTACACCAAAATTTAGGAGAAAAACGTAGGAACTCACAGGCTTCTAAGATTGTGCCAATCAAGGAATCGATTGCATGAAGATCGATATCAGCTGATTCAGATACGACTCTAGAATAGGATCTCTTGGGGTGACGTCAGCGGATAGCGATGATGAGCTATGGTTGGCACCAGAAAACTACATATAGGACTCTACAAAAAAGGAAAGATTAGGATCCAAGTTATCTTAAATTAGGAATGCTTTCCTCTATGCCGAAGATTGTACTGAGTCATACTCGAGTAGGATTCGTTTTAGGCTCCGGGTATAAATATCAAGCCCCGGTTATTGTAAAAGACATACAATCAATCAAATACAAGTTACTTACTTTTTTTGGCTCTGGTCACCCCTTAGGAGTAGGAGTAGAGTAGATCCCGGCGAGTTCTTCAGCAAGTACGGCTGCATCGATCCGGTCGACCTCCACTCCTTGTCTGTAAGTACCATCATGGCTTATACTTCTGTTCGTACGGCTGCATCGATCTGGTCGACCTCCACTGCGACTCTGATATGAGTTAGTTATTGACTCTCATCTAGTTCAAGTACGGCTGCATCGATCCGGTCGACCTCCACTGTTCGAACTAGATTAAGGTCAAGTTATCGGCTCTATTTAGGGCCTGTTTGTTTCCAAACTCCTAAAACTTTAGCTCCTAAAAGTTTTAGGCAGCCTTCTAAAATCTCCTAAAAACGTGTTTGGTTCCACCTTCTAAAACTGTCTAAAAGCAATAAATGCACTAACAAAAATACCATGCAGCCCTCCTCCTTACCCCTCCTCTGCATGCACCTGGTATGCATGGCACCCCTGGTCCACCTCCTTCTATTGCTGGCGTGCCACCTCCTCTTGCTGGTGCCGATTTTTTTTTGCTGGCGGCCAAATATGTTTATTCCATTCAATAAAAAAAGTACATACAAATGTTTACACTCATACAATTGGAAAGAAGTGTCCATAAATCATCCATACAAACAATTCAACACATCAATAAAATCACCATTACAAATTCACATCTACGATCTACTAAACAACCCATCGGCTATCCAATCACGGAACTCATTCATGTTTACATCTTCGTCTCCATGATGTACATTTGACACATTACCGTCAGAAGAGGATCCTTCGGCGAATGGAACATAGTTCTCATCATGATCAACCAAATCAAAGTCCACATCTCTCAAAAAACTATCCCTAATAAAATTATGCATTGCCATGCACGCAAGAATTATATGGCTTTGCTTTTGCATTGGATAGCTAGGAAGGTCAAGCAAAATCCTCCACTTCATCTTTAGAACTCCAAACGACCGCTCAATAACATTACGAAGTGAAGAATGTGAGTAATTAAACAGTTCTTTTTTACCTCTTGGCATTACTCCTTGTCTAAACTCCGGCATATGGTACTTGATTCCTTTGTACGGTGCAAGATATCCCGGTCGGTTTGGGTAACCTGAGTCAACAAGGTAGTACTTGCCTGCACAATTATAAAAGCATGGATTATTTAAGTCATAGAACAAGTGTTGTAATAATGAGAACATGCATACATACAGTTGTCATTACCTTCAGGTGGATGCGGAAACTTGTCTCCAAACTTGTCAATTGCATCTTTGAACACCCTCATATCATGAACTGACCCAGGCCAACCAGCCACCACAAAAGTAAACCTCATATCGAAATCACATATGGCCATGACATTCTGACTCGTATATCCATGTCTTCTCGTATGTTGAACTACCTTGTTACTTGGCACTACTACAGGAATATGAGTACCGTCTATAGATCCAATGCAATTGTCAAAGAATGGTGTGAAGCGAGGGCTTTGCAACCTACGATGCATATTTTTAAACTCAGGGTCCTTGGGCTTAATGACGTCTACTGCTAGCTTGTTCACACTCTCTAGAACTTTATCAAACTTTCTACATATTGTTTCTAGTGATCTTGTGAAACGATCTTCAACTTGTCTAAGAGATTGTGGTGCACCACATATCCACAGAAACAGCCCTAAAGCCTCCATAGAACACATCCTCTTAGTTGATTTTAGCCCATATGATTCAACTAGCAAACTATGCAGCCTCAGAAACAGATCTTGACTCATTCTAAACATATTGTAACAAGAAGTGGTATTTCCTAGTGTCTTCATGACCCATTCATATCCACTTTCTGTTGCTATTATGTATTATGCTTTGTTAATGTAGGTGTCAAAGTGATACATACCCATCATGGCAGCTGCAATACTTAAGATTCTCCTCCTCTTCCTCCTACACTGCAGTATATATGATTGTACCCTCTGATCAAATTCAGCCCTATCATCGTCCTCTTCATCCCATAGATCATCCTGAGACTCATCTTCCTCCTGTCATAACCAAAACAAACAAATCAGTACGTGAAGTATAAAGTATGAGATA